TTTTTTGAAAATTTTTGAAACGGCAGCTTTTTTCACAGTGGCAACATATGCTTGACCTTGCTACCGTAAACCTACAGCAATGAAGGGCGATCGATTTTCCGCTCTATATTGTAAATCTAAGTTGAAGGTAGCTCTACAAAATAGTAGCTAAGACTTCTTAAAAGCTTTCAATATAAAAAAGTTATTTTAGATCAAACGTTCACATTTTTTGGACACCTTGTATGTAGAAATTGAAGAAGGAATTGTTCACTGAAGGTAACGTAGAGCCGAAGAACGGAACTTTCGGAGTTAACACAGTATAAGTTCCACATTATGAGGAACTTCGACAAATTGGAAAAAGTCGATCATGTCAGTGTTTATCTTGAATTGGAAAGAAAGCCCGGAATAGTCTCAGAATGCTGATATTTTGCTCACCTTGGAGACCGCAACTTTAGCGAATGTTCGACTTCGACAAATTGCTCTTACGGAGTCACATCGTCGACGCTGTGAATGCAAGCACTGACTGCACGCAGAAAATGAACTGAAGTCTTACCTTTAACTCCTCTTTATCATCTTTTGTGCCGAGACTATGCGCAGGTGGCTTCATTGTACTCTCAGTGCTCTCCTTACTAGTTGAAGTCTCTATCGCGGTTGTTCCGTCATTCGTGTTTGTATTTGTTATAGTCATAGACATAGATTTGGCTTTACGAATTTTTTCTTTCCGTCGTCTCAGCATGTTTAATATATCCAAATTCACTTTTTTCTCCGCTTGAGACAAAGCTTCTGCTTTGCTTGATTTCCTCTTTTCTTTTGTGGAAGCAGCTTTGACTTGTTGGGGCACACAAGTTTTTATACTTCGTTTCTCTACGCCACCTTTATTAGGGCCTTTAGCAGTGGCTTTCTTTTCCGTCTTTGGTGTTTTCGCATCTGGTTTTAGTTTGAAAATTTGATTGTTCATAACTAACAATTTGATTGTCGGTAACATGCTAAGAAGTTGCTTCGTCCCCTTAATAACCTTCTGGGATGACTGAGTTCTTTCGACATCCATTTCCTGAAGATATGAATATCGGGCAGTGCTCGTAAAGTTTATGAATTCATAACGAAACGAATTGTTCCTATCCCT